TTCAACCAATCTCACCAATTTTTATCACAAACCTGATTGCTCATTCCAACAATTTGCAAAATTAATTTTAAAAGAAAACTAGTCCCTGTGGAGACAAACTTGGAATATTTCCAGATTATTACTTGTGACAGTGTGCACTTGCACTCGTCCCTCTTGCTATTAAGCAGAGGTGCAACAAGTTTTTGGCGCCGTTGCCAGAGACTTTATTTTCATTTTAATTTATTTTTTGTGAATTGTTTTTGTGTGCAATCACTCCATCGTTTCTGTTCTGAAAATATCCCCCTATCCAACCTAAAAAATGAGTATCAGTGTATGAGCACAAATTCATATCTGTTACCTTACGATCCAGAGATCGAGAAAACCTGCAAGAGGTTAAGACGTGAACAGAGACTGAAAAAACAGCAAGCAAAAATCCAAAAAGAGAAAGAACGTGAGCACTTCAACAAAATGGCAGAAAATGTAGTGCCGAACCCAATTCACGTGGCTGACCAAAGAGACCGTGCAATGCGAGATTATGCAGCCAYAATATTAGAGGACCTGAACTCTAGCGTTATRAATYCRYTTCCAGCAGATGCCMAATTTGAATTTAAGCCAATGATGCTTCAAATGTTAAACAMTATTGGCCAGTTTGRGGGGCTTGAACATGAAGATCCACGCTCTCACCTTAAATCTTTTATTAAAGTTGCTAACACTTTTAGATTACCTGGAATMTCTGATGATGCAYTAAGACTCACATTATTCCCTTTTTCTCTTTCAGGCCAAGCAACAGCATGGCTGAACGCCTTCCCGTCMRACACCATTAYCACATGRAGCGATATGGTGGATAAATTTCTTGTTAAGTACTTCCCACCGACAAGGAATGCAGATGTTCGGGAAGAGATTATCTCATTCAGACAAAAGGAGAATGAGGCGGTAAACGTTGCTTGGGAACGTTTCAAAGATCTAATAAGGAATTGTCCAAATATTGGAATCCCAGCGTGCGTACAAATTGAACATTTCTTTAGAKGTTGCGATATACCGACTAWGATGATGCTTAATGGGGCCGCAAATGGGAAATTTACATCAAAATCTTTCAACGAGATAGTGGAGATTCTGGACCAGCTATCTGAACACAATGATCAATGGTGCTCGGAGAAGCCAAGGACCCAATCAAAACGAGCAGATCCAGCAATCGTGCTAGCCTTAGATAATATGACGTCTATGCAAAAACAAATTGACACCATCACTCAAATGTTGAAGAACATGGAAAAGAACAATGCAGCTGCCGCATTAGCCCCAGCAACAACTAATCCTTCTCCTGTTTACCAAATAGCTGAATCTACTTGTTATTATTGTGGAGATCTACATCCATCTGAAAATTGCCCTTCTAACCCTCTTCTATGTCTTATGTAGGTCAAATGAATCAACAAAAATTCAATCCTTATTCGAACATATACAATCCGGGATGGAAGCAGCATCCTAATTTCTCATGGAGTGGACAAGGAAGTTCCAGTGGTACAGGACAGAATCAACAGTACAAGCAAGCTTATACCCCACCTCGATTTCCAAATTCACCAGCTTTTCCACCAACTCCACAGCAATACAACCAACAGAAAAATTATGGGCAGCCGGCACAACAAAACTTGAGTAACATGGAGATTTTAATGAAGGAATTCATAACCAAGAACGATGCCACAATGAAGGAATTAATGACTAGGACTGATGCTACCATAAAGGACATGAAGGAAGTGAAGGATTACATGGGCAGAAATGACGTTACGGTAAGAAATTTAGAGATGCAATTGGGACAACTTGCGAATGAGGTAAGGACAAGACCCCAAGGTTCATTACCGAGTAGTACAGAAGAGCCAAGAAGAATAGTTTCCCCTAGCCCTTCAAGAGAGAAAGACACACAGGTTGTCCCTGACAAAATAGTAGAACCAGAGGTAAGTGTATCGGTTGCCCCACAGGTAAGTAACTGTAGATCTCCTCCTCCCTTCCCCCAACGTTTAGTAAGGAAAAATCAGGACAATAATTTTCGTAAGTTCCTAGACATCTTGAAACAATTGCACATTAACATACCCTTTGTTGAAGCTCTTGAGCAAATGCCTACTTATGCAAAGTTCTTAAAAGACATAATAACTAGGAAGAAAAAGTTAGGAGAGTATGAGACGGTAGCTTTGACAGAATGTAGTAGTAATGTTTTTAAGAGCAAAATRCCCCCTAAGCTTAAAGATCCTGGCAGCTTTACAATCYCTTGTTTAATAGGAGGTAAARATGTAGGGAGAGCACTATGTGATTTAGGGGCTAKCATAAAYCTCATGCCTTTGTCCATTTTTAAGAARTTAGAAATAGGGAAAGCTARTCCTACCACCGTCACACTCYAGTTAGCAGATAGATCRATCACCAAACCAGAAGGAAAAATAGAAGATGTCCTAGTAAAGGTTGATAAATTTATTTTTCCTGCTGACTTTATTATTTTAGACTGTGAAGCTGACAAGGATGTGCCTATCATTCTCGGACGCCCATTCCTAGCTACAGGAGAAACTCTAATTGACGTTAAAAAGGGAGAACTCACGATGCGCGTTGATGATCAGAAGGTGACATTCAATATGCTGGATGCAATGAAATATCCGGACGATAGGGAAGAGTGTGTAGTAATTAGCATTGATAAGGGAATTACTTGTTATGAGTTAGATGATTTGTTAAATGCAGAAATAGAAGCAGAGTTAGAAGAAGCAGAAAAAGAAGGCATCATAGCGATAACTGCTTTGAAGAAAGAAAAGAGAAAGTCAATTCAGCCTTTAAAAATAGAACCACCGTGATAGGGAGGGGATTTCAGCGAATAAGCGACCCTCGCCTTGGTTTTGAGAACTAAAAGAGAGATTTGTCTTGTATTTTATTTATTTATTTTTTCTTTATTCACGCATTGTTTGTTTGTTTTTTTTCTTTAATTTGATTATTTAGTTTGAATAATTTTGTAGGAACAATAACATGCTTAAATGTGACAGGTTAAGATGAAAAGAAGAAATTTTGCTAAGAATTTGCCTTAGTGCTAGACGACACAACCATGTCTACTTTCCACCATCTTCAACCACATCGTGATGTTACAAACAATGAAGAAAATGATTCAGG